TTTAAGGGAGGGGAGCCCCAATAGCCCCACCGTAGCTACAGGCCAGTCTAGGGGCACAATCTTGCCAGTATGAAGCATGTTATCCTCTTTGCAATGAGAGAGATTTAAACACATGCTCTGGTCTTCTGTCATCCAACTGTCCATCACAGATTTATTTATTTAGCACTAATTTCATGCTGCCATTCTTCGGCATCCCTGGCCTGGCTAGCCGCACCTGAGGTGCTGTCCATCATCTTCCAGACCTCTTGGAGGACGGGAGACATGCCTCAAGACTGGAGGAGGGCAGATGTTATCCCAATTTTTTAAAAAGGGAGGAGGGATGACCCAGGAAAGTACAGGCCAGTCAGTCTGACCTCTGTCCCGGGGAAGATACTGGAGCAGGTTTTAAAGGGATCAATCTGCAAACATCTGAAGGACAACTTGGTGATCCAGGGAAGTCAGCACAGATTTGTCCCCAACCGATTCTGCCAGACCAACCTCGTTTCCTTCTTGGATTGAGTGACGAGTTTATTGGACTGAGGGGATGCTGCTGATGTTGTTTCCCTAGATTTCAGAAAAGCTTTTGACAGGATTCCCCATGATGTTCTAATGGGTAAACTAGAGGACTATGGACTGGACTCTAGGATAGTTAGGTGGATAGGGAACTGGTTGGAGAACCTCACTCAGAGAGTAGTTGTCAATGGCATTTTATCTGAATGGAGGGAGGTGTCCAGTGGGGTGCCACAGGGCTCGGTTCTGGGCCCAGTACTTTTCAATATTTTAATAAGTGATCTGGATGGGGGTGTGGAGGGGCTACTCATTAAATTTGCAGATGACACCAAATTGGGAGGAGCACCCAACACACCAGAAGATAGAGATAGAATTCAATGAGATCTGAACACACTGGAAAAGTGGGTGGATATGAACAAGATGCAATCTAACAAGGATAAGTGCCTAGTTCTGCATCTGGGTAACAAAAATGAGGAACATGCATCCTGGGTAGCAGTGTGTGTAAACAAGATCATGGGGTACAGGTGGACCATAAGTTAAATATAAGCAGCCAGTGTGATAAAGCGACAAAAAAGGCTATTACAGTCTTGGGGTGTATCAACAGAGGCATAACATCCAAATCGCAAGATGTCATAGTTCTGTTATACACTGCATTGGCCAGGCCACACCTGGAGTATTGTGTTCAGTTCTGGAGGTCTCACTTCAAAAAAGATGTGGAGAGAATGGAGTTGGTGCAGGGGAGAGTGACGAGGATCGGGGGCCTGGAGTATTTGAAGTATTTGAAGGGCTGTCACTTAGAGGAGGGCAGGGAGCTGTTCCTGTTGGCAGCAGAGGACAGGACTCACAATAATGGGTTTAAATTAAGGGTGGGACAGTACCACCTGGATATTAGGGAAAACTTTTTTACAGTAAGAGTTGTGCAACAATGGAATCAGCAGCCTAGGGAGGTGTAATCAGTGTCTGGACAAACACTTGTCAGGGATGCTCTAGGCTGATCCTGCATTGAGCAGATGGTTGGACTAGATGGCCTGTATGGAGCCTTCCAACTCTGTGATTCTATGGTCCTTTCCACACTTGAATTTCATCCCTGGTTTTATCAGAGTTCAACTTGTGACACAATACCTTACATTTATCCCTGGTTATAACAGCATCCGTTTATCCCAGGACAAGTGTTGGGCAAAACCGGGGTGATCTCAATGTAATGTGGAAACAAAAAATACCCCAAGATAATTACAGGGATGAACTCAAGTGTAGTGTAGAATCTAAGTTTAGGAACAGTGTTGAACCGAGATTTAAGCTCTAGTGCAGAAAGGACCTATGATTCTATGATCCTTTGCAGTTTTGCTAGTGTAACTATCAAATCTTCATGTTGGAGTTTTGCTCCAGCTGCCTCTGTTATGTTGTAAGGGATTCTGGGATGCACTCTCAACCCAGATACTCATTTTACTGGCATCAGGGGTCTTTTCCTAGAAAAAGAGCTGCAGCAGCTCATTAGCATACAGTATGCTAATGAGCTACTAGGGTATTAGCATAATAGCTCATTAGCATATGCAACACCCCCTGACATCACCAGAAGGGATGTCAGAAGGGGAAGCAAAAGGGTGGGGGAGGCATCTTCAAAAGCCTCCCCTTCCCTTCCCTGGGGGGGGGAAGCAAAGAGAGAAGGGGTTTAAAGTTTAAACCCCTTCTCACTAGAGTTGGGCCGCAGAAGGAGGAAAGAGGGAAGGAAAGAGGGAGAGAGTGGAGAGAAGGAACAAATGAATGAGTGAAAGAAAGAGAAGGGAAGAAGGAAGGGAAGAGGAAAAGAAAGAGAAGGAAAGAAGGAGGGAAAGAAAGAGAGAGGAGGGGAAGAGGAAAAGGAGAGAATGAAAGGAGGGAAAGAAAGAGCGAGAAGGGAAGAAGGAGAGAAAGAGAGAAGGACAGAAGAAGGAAAAGAGAAGAAGGAAGGAAGAGAAGGAAAGAGAGAAAGAAAAGAAGGGAAAGAAAACGAAAGGGGAAGAAAAGGAGGGAAAGAAAGAGGACAAAGAGATGGGGGGAGGAGGGAGGCTCTCCCACCCCTCCACTCCTCCAATCAAGCCTCCACTACCCCCCGTGGATCCCTCACTTACCCTGGGAGGCGGCAGGGGGCCTCTTCTGCCCTCCCATGGGCTGCAGGGCTCTGGCACTGGCCCGGGGAAGTGGCGGGGGGGCTCTTCTGCCCTTCCACGGGCCACAGCACTCCAGCGCTGACCCGGGGAGGCAGTGGGGGGCCACAGCACGGGGAGCTGGGGGCGGGGCTTTCCGGCACCGCCATTTGTTACGGTGCCTGGGCTCCCGGAGCAGCGCTCCTGGCACGCTCCAGCCCCAAAAGACCCCTGACTGGCATCCTTCTCTAATATTAATGCCCTAAGCAATAGCTTGAGTTGCTAGCAGTGCTGGGCAGGCCTGGACATTGAACTAAAATGCTAGCCTTTCCTACCTGTACTATGTTTTGGAATTCCTAGGCAGACGAGCTCTTCTCATACATTCGTACATAACCCCCCCAAGGCCGATTTCCCTGTCCTCACCATTTATTTCCTTGTTCATTCATTTAAACACTTATATTCAGCCTTTCCACTTCATTGAGGCCTTCAAGGTGGCTCACAACCAAAACCAAAAATTATGCATTGCAACAAACAACCCACCTAAGGCAATCAGACCAAATAGAACAGAACCTCACAACTAGCAGTAAGAGATGCAAAAAACTCAAGCATTATAAGATGCCACCCAAAGGAATCTGGGTGAATCAAAACATTTTCAGTAGATGCCCAATGAGAAACAAAGTAGACACTTGCAAAAACATCTGGGGAGGATACTGCAAAGTCTGGATGCCACCATAGAAAAGGCCCAGTTACCAGTACCCAGTACTCAACCCAGTTGGGGGCATGCAGAGCAGCAGGCACAGATCTATCCTACTGGAGATTTCCTGTCTCCCTTCCCCAATATTTGGCTTTCATGTTAACCACCTGTTCTAAATGGAAAGCAAAACTCAGATGTCTGCCAAATCATCAACCCTAACGATCAGATGCTTACAAGAGCTCTGGAAGGAGCAGTGCACACATTACTTGGTGGCAGCAAACAATGATGTTGGCAAGGGATTTCACTGTAACACCCCACCAGTTTTGACTGCTTATAGAGACACAGAAAATCAACATGGGGAGCTACACAGTAAGCCCTGCCATGCAAATGGATCCCTACAGCTACCACATGGAGCTATTTGGCCTCTGCATGGCAGCCTCCAGGTAAGCCTAGAGAAATTTGGGTGTGAGTAATCTCTCTCTCTCTCTCTGAGGCTGACCTCAGAAAGAGCACAATGAGGGAAGAGACAAATAAGGCCATGGGATTATTTGTAAAGAATCTTTATATCCAGGTGAATGAAGGTGGGGTGTTGCCAGAAGTCTTCTTTTCCAGACAAAGCACAAACTTCTCCTCGGAGGGGCAACCTGAGAATGTAGGAGGAGACCAAAGATCACACACAGAGAAACCCAGCAGGAGAATTTGGTCATTCATGATGTTCTAAAAGGGGAGGGGGAGGAAAGAAGACCTATTAGTAGCTGGGTGACATCAGTGCCCCCTCCTTATTGGCTCAGTGGTCTGAAAGCCCATTATGTAGTTCTAATGATGAAGAAAATCAAGGTTGGCCTTGAAATTGCCCTGGATGGAAGCCCAGCTCTGAGCTGCATGGAAGAAAAGCCAAGTAAATATGTAAGATAAATAAAAAATAAGGTCTTGGCCTCCTGGTATCACACAGATCTCTTCTGCTGCCCCAAAAGAGCAGTATATGGATTCTCTCCTCTCTCTTTGATCCTCACAACAATACTGGGATAGAGTTTAGGTTGAGAGGGAGTATCTAGTCACACAGCTTCAAGGTAGATTTGGAATTTGAAACTAGTCCCTGTTCCAAACACTATGCCACAATGGGGGTGTAAGAGTTCCTATGCAAACTCTGAAGTGTTGTAAATTTAGGATACATAATTGAAGCACAAATAGACCACACAGAACTCAAGATAGGCAGCCCACACCTGCCTTGGACCAATTCCAATTTAGCTTATTAGAAAGAAACATTGCTCTCCCAATGACATATCAAGAGTTTTCATTCTGCACTGGACAGTTTGGGCATCTAAAGTCTAGGGGGATTTAATTTTTTTTTTTTTTTTGTAAATGCAACCTTTGGGAAGGCATCAGGAAATCTGCTCAGCAAAGGAAAAGCAGAGGGACACTGGCTGCCCCATAACTGTGGAACTCCCTTCTTTTGGATGCTCAACAAAATCCAAGACCAAGCAGGGACATTATTGTTAAATTGGCTGTTAATCTTCAAAATCAACCAGATATGGGGCCATTGGTTTCAAAATACAGAGGTTTGCCTACATTTTAAGGACTGATGCATCATATGGAACTTGGCAAGTTAAAGAAACAAAACCAGAAAGCAGCAGATACATGAATAAAAAGAAACTGTACCTGCTCTAAAACTTGGCTGTGATTGCAAAAATGGATTAGGAGTTGGTCACAGACTTGCCAGTGGAATCCTGCATTGAATACAGGCTATTCTCCTCATCCTCAAGCACCTTCATAGAGAAAGGAAAACATCTATAAGGTAAATAGCATCTCCTTCAGAGTTATTGTTTTAGCCATAGCCTCTGTGTCTCTGCAGGCAGAGAAGACCACAGAGGGGATACTCTAGCAGGAAAGCACTAGGAAGACTTAATATGACAGGCAACATCACCACCTAGTGGCAAGCAATAGCTATCCTCTTATAAACAAAGGTTTATTAAGTCTAGGCTAGGAGTTCTGCGAACAGACCATTTACTGTTCCATTTTAAAAAATCAGCCACAGGTGATCAAGAATAGAATTTGAATGGAAGGGGGGGATTAAACATTATCTTCTCCTCTGCACTGTAAAAGCCCCACAGCACTGCTATTTACCCCACTGGAACAAACACAGATACCTGTATGGTCAGAAAAACAGGCTCAGAGGGTCTTAAACCACCAATCCCTTCATGATTTGGATCTGTTTCATATTAGGCGACCTGCATGCCCCTGATTTTTAGAGACAGAGAAATGCTGTATGCTCTCTGTTAACTGAACTCTCAGCATCATGTGTGTTCGAGCCCTTATATAGGTTAAAAGGTGATGAAGATCCATTTATCTGTAAAAGGATTCAGATTGAAGGCACATGGGGAGCAGAGAGGGAGATTAATCCTGTACTTCCCCCTCTTCCTACTGAGGATCACTAATTGAAAACCAAGATCTCTGTGCTATTATTAGCACTTTGAGGGGGAAGGGATGTTGGGTTGATTTCTTTATCATGTCTGTTTTGATCCTAAAAGTTTGTCTTCACTACTGATTTCCTAAAGGCTTCAAAAAGTGCATAATAGAGATCTAGGGTTATCACCAATTTATCATTTGTATTCCTGTTCGGGGGTTGTTATATATTGAGCCTGAACTGCCCTTGCAAAAGGTCTGAGCTTGGGATCCATAACAATAGATTGCTAGGATCTTAGAATGGACCAGTAGGGAGACAAGGATCCTAGAGTAAACCAATTAGGAAACAAAAGAGTGTAAATAGCCTATCGTTGGGAGTGGGATATTTTTGGGTGTAATCCTTTTCAGGCATAAATACCTGGCTTTGGCCAGGGATTGCAGCCTTCTTCTTTCTCTTGCTGAATAACTAATAAACTATGAGCTGATCACTTCTACGCGTCTGAACCCAGTATATTTCACTGGTGACGAGGATGGGATCCCGATGAACGAGCCTGACCCAGCCTCCAGCATTGCACCACGCAACGATCTCCAGGACTCCGCGCCTCACATCGCTCCATGGGTCATGGCTGCCACTCCGGGAGTCATTCTTGCATTCGACCCCACTCACCCTGAGCTTTGGGAAGCGTGGGTAAAGCAGCTGAAGTACTTTGTTCGATTCCAAGGCATAGATGACGCCGACAAGAAGAAGTCGCTTCTGCTCAGCACATGCGGCATCGCCACACTACGCCTAGCCCAGGGCCTCATCGCTCCTAAAACCCTTGAAGCAGCCACTCACAATGAACTTGTCAAGGCCCTCACCGGCCATTTCGCGCCTCAACCAACCAAGATGGCGAAGCACATGGACTTCTTGGTGCACCACCAAAAGTCTGGTGAAGCGGCCACCGACTTCATGGCTGATCTCCTCAGGCTGGCCATAAACTGTGAATTCCCAGATCTTGAGAATGCCCTCTTAACACAGTTTGTCTGGGGCGTCCATGAACAGAAACTCCGCTGCAAACTCATTGGTACCAACAAACTCAAACTGGACAAGGCACAACGCATGGCCGCCGCTTTTGAAAAGGCACAACAGGATCGCCAGACCCACTCTGCGCATCAGGCCTCCACATCCCCTGGTCTCTGACGCCTCAGATGAGGAAGAAATACTCCAGGTACGCTGCCCCGCTCGCCGGGACTCGTGCCCACTATCCACGACCACCCCACAGCCCGCAAAGACCATCGCTCAAGCACCTTGCACCAGCTGTGGAGAAGAGCACGAACAACGTTCCTGCCATTTCCACGATGCAATCTGCCGAACCTGTGGAAAACAAGGCCACATCGCACGAGCCTGCCACTCCCGAGGAAACCGGCGGCGTCCATCTGCCCACCAGGAATCCACAGAGCTCCACAATACAGCCGTCCACCAACACCAGGTACTACACTTGCCCCAGGACACCCCTAACAAAATTAAAGTAACCGTGTTACTAGAGGGGGCCCCTTGCAAAATGGAGTTGGACACAGGGTCCTCCATCTCCATCATCTCAGAAGAGACTCTCAGAAGGCTCTGCCCACAAGGGGGTCCCCACCTAGAACCTGCAGGCTTCACCCTCAGAGACTTCCAAAAGAACCCGGTGGCCATTAAAGGGTGGGGCAAGTTCCATGTGCAGTATAAGAACTTTGAAGGACTTTCAGATTTGGTGGTGGTGGAAGGGCGGCTTACTAGTTTACTGGGTCTGTCGTGGTTTGCTCCCCTGAGGTTTGGGGTGATGGGGGTGCATCACGTGCGGCCTACGAACTTCAGCAACATGTGCAATGAGTTCCCGGCCATTTTTGATGGGACGCTTGGTCACTACACCGGTCCACTGGTCTCCCTAGACCTCGGCCCAGCTGTACGCCCCATCTGTATGAAGGCCAGGCGCGTCCCATTTGCGTTGCGGCCCAAGATAGATGGAGAGCTGGACTGCCTGGTAGTGCACAGGGTTTTAGAGCCAGTGCCTCATGCCCGCTCGGAGACCCCCATCGTCACCCCAGTGAAGCCCAACGGGGACGTCTGTATCTGCATGGATTATAAGTGCACCATAAACAAGGCCCTGCAGGACCACGCTTATCCCATTCCAGTAGTCAGCCATGTTTTGGCATCCTTGGCGGGTGCGAAGGTTTTTGGCAAATTGGACTTGGCCCAGGCATACTAGCAGCTCCCCGTAGACGATGACACCGCAGAGGCCCAGACCATCGTGACACACAGGGGTGTGTTCCGGGTGTGGCGGCTGCAATTTGGGGTCAGCATGGCCCCGGGGATCTTTCAAAATCTAATGGACTGTCTCCTTAAAGGTGTCCCGGGGATCCAGCCATTCTTCGACGATGTTTTGATCGCTGCTCCCAAAGCCGAGACTTTCTCCAAGAGCCTGTGCGCCGTCCTGCAACGTTTCCACACCACAGGACTGAAGGTGAAGTGGGAAAAATGCCTCCTGGGGATTCTGCGAGTCAAGTTCCTGGGGTTCTCGGTGGATGCTCTAGGCATCCATCTGACGCCTGACAAGGTCAGCACCATCGTTGATGCTCCAACCCCCTCCTCTAAGCTGAAACTCCAGGCCTGCTTGGGGCTGCTGAACTTCTATCATTCCTTCTTGCACCACAAGGTTGCAATCGCCGAGCCCCTGCACCGCCTTCTCGATAGAAAAGCCCCTTGGGTGTGGGAGCAGAAGCAGGCTACCACATTTTGGGCTGTCAAGGACCTGCTCACCTCCAACGTGGTCCTAGTGCACTTCAACAAGATGCTCCCCGGTGTAATCCGTTTCAGGCATAAATACCTGGCTTCAGCCAGGGATTGCAGTCTTCTTCTTTCTCTTGATGAATCACTAATAAACTATGAGCCGATCACTTCTACAGGTCTGAACCCAGTATATTTCAGGGATCTTCCTTTGTAATAAGTGGGGAAACCCAATGAAATATGCTGTGACTTGGGCCAAACAGGTTAGGGGAACTTGTGTTAAATATATTATCTAGTTTGATCCTCAATGGTCAAGGGCATTTAGAAGGACCCAGGTTCAGACCTGGCATTTCCATGTTTCCATTTGAAAAGATCTTGGTCTGCCTAAGACTGTGGAAAGCAGCTGTCAGTCAGAACAGGTGATACTGAGCTAGATGTATCGAAGGGCTGACTCATTAGGCCCTGTCAATGGATGAAAAGCTGGACTGTCCATAATTTTCCCAAGAGAAAGATTGTGACAGATTATACAGAGGCTTTATAGTATTTTTACCCAGCCAGGGCCAGCCCAATCACAAAGAAATCTTAGCAACTATCTAAGATACCACAAAATTCTAGGGGCTGCCTGCTTCAGTAAGCTTCTGACAGGCAACATTACCATCTAGTGGCATAAGGGCTATACTCTCTCACTAGCTTAAGCGGGTTTGTTAAGTCCTAAAAGGGCTCTTGTCTACAGAGATTTCTTATTGAGGCCATAACTGATGTGTGAGCAAGGCCTAAGGTTGTTGCTGCCCTGTGCTTGCAGAAGAAGAAGAAGAAGAGATTGGATTTATACCCCCCCCTTCACTACTCAAAGGTGTCTCAGAGAGGCTTACAAACTCCTTCCCCTTCCCCTCCCCACAACAGACACCCTGTGAGGTAGGCAGGGCTGAGAGAGCTCTGACAGAAACTGCTCTTTTTCAAGAACAGCCCTTATCAGAACTATGGCTTGCCCAAGGTCATCCAGCCAGGTGCAAGTGGAGGAGTGGGGAATCAAACCCGGTTCTCCCAAATTAGAGTCCGCGCACTTAACCACTGCACACTGAAGTATCTTAGCATTTCATTGGTTGGCTGACATTCCCTGCATTCTGGGGATATAACTGAAGACATTTCCATCAGCTAAGTAGGGGACAGACACACATGAAAGCACAGGAAGCTACCTTCTATTGAGTCAGACTACGGGTCTATCAAGGTCTACTCTGACTGGCAGCAGCTCTTCAGGGACTCAGGTCTTTCACATCACCTACTATTAGGGATGGGCACAGACCTGAACTCTGAGCTAAAATCCAGCCCGAACTTCGCCTGGTTCAAGGCTTGGCTGGACCAGTTTGAAGCGTTTGGGCATTCTCGGCAGAGAAACCCCACCCCTGCACTTTCGCAGGAGAAAGTGGGTGTGGGTGGGATTTTCCAGCTGTCAAGGGACCGATAGTGAGTATCCAAGGCTGACAGGCAACTCCAATTTTCAATCAGAGACGTCCATCCTTCTCCCTTGGAATGTGAGGGTTTGTATATTCCCTGGAAGTGCATGACTGTCTGGGGTGGGCTTGGAGTGGGGGGAAAATTTACTGGGGTCGATGGGTG